CTCAGCTCACTGCAACCTCCGCCTACCGGGTTCAAGTGATTCTCCTGCCTCAGCCTCCCAAGTAGCTGGGATTACAGGTGTGCACCACCATGCCTGGCTAATTTTTTGTCTTTTTAGTAGAGACAGGGTTTCACCATGTTTGCCAGGCTGGTCTCAAACTCCTGACCTCAGGTGATCCACCCAAGTTATGGGATTACAGGAATGAGCCACTGTGCCCGGCCAAGAAGTCATTCTTTGTATGTAATCTGCCAAGACAGCAAAGATTCACTGTCTTATCCGAAAAATTTTCTGAGCTTTATGCTGACTTCGCTGTCTGAAAAAGGAGATTCAGGCCATGTGTCTTTGACAGGAGAGGTCCAGAGCGGCACTGAGTTCCCCCTCAGCAAGCCAAATCAGGATGCACGTGTGGCCCACAAGTCCTACTGCTAGTCAGTGGGCTGAGAAGGGCTCTACCAGGTGTCTCTGCTGTAAAGCCATTATTTTCACTCTCAATCATTAGTACATGTTTGGGTGAGGTACTTTAAAACCATGGTACTTCAAAAAGTGCCATGCTGGCTGTGAAGGTGTAGGGGCCACCTAGGAGGACACTCAGAGGCCTCCACGAACTGAGAATCATGCTCCAGCCGTCAGTCAGCAAAGAGACAGGAACCTTAGTTCTCCAATCACATGGAACTGAATCCTGCCAACAACCTCGATGGGGAGTGAACAAACCTGGCCTAGCCAACACCTTGATTTCAGTCATATGACTGAACAGAGAACCCAGCTGAGCCCATCTGGACTTGTGTCCTACAAATCTATGAAATAATCATTGGGTGCTATTTTAAGCTAAGTTTATAAGAACTTATTACACACCAAACAAACAAAAAGCCACTAGGAAACTTTAACTCACTCATTTTACTTATTTATATCTGTATATGCTCACTGCTTCCCATTTGATTACATGGGTTATAATGTTTCTAAAGTTATTTATTTTGATGCTCAAATCATCACTAATTTTGCCTGTGACATTTCCCCCATCATGCTTTTAACAGGTCCTTACTTTCTGGATGTTCTATAAAACACAGTATTCTGGGTTCATAATATATTTTCCTGGCCCCAGGTTGGAACCAAGGAGTCCTGGTTCCATTAATGGAAAATGAGGTGTGGGTCTGGGCATGGTAGCTCATGCCTGTAATCCCAGCACTTTGGGAGGCCAAGGTGGGTAGATCACTTGAGGTCAGGAGCTCGAGACCAGTCTGGTCAACACAGTGAGACCTCAACTCTACTAAAAATACAAAAATTAGCTGGGCGTGGTGGTGCATGACTGTAGTCTCAATAGGTTGGAAGGCTGAGGTGGAAGGATCAGTTGAAACCAGCAGGCAGAGGTTTTAGTGAGCCAAGATTGTGCCACTGCACTCCTGCCTGGGCAACAGAGTGAGACTCTGTCTCAAAAAATTAATAATAAAAAGAAAAAGAAAATGAGATTTGGAGGCCATGACCTGGGTGCCAAGTTTGCCTGTTACTATTCAGGTACCACACTCCTAGGCAGGTGCCTTCAGAGGTCAGAGTATATGTAACACACAAACACACACACTCTCTCTCTCTCGGTCCTATTTCCACATTTATTTAGATGCATCCATATGTGAACACACATATATAACTGGGGAGACGCAGAGGGAGGAGGAGGACAACGGGTTTACACTGATATACCCATTTCCAATGCAGCTCCACAGTGTCCATTCCAATTTCCTGTCTTTCTGTATTTGTAGCTCACTCCAACATGAGAAACCTAGTTTCCCTTACTCTCAATGAATTTATGTATTTGTTCAATTCCCTGTGTGTAACCAAACTACTACCTCCATCACCCTCCTGGGTGCACCCCGACATCCCAGACAGCTGTCCCAACACGTGGGTGCCTCATCTGGCTTGGGTAAACCCCATGCCAGGTCACCCTGTGGGGGATGACCTCCTCACGCCCTCGGGAGCACCTGGGACCTCCCCCTGCCCAGCATCTACCTTCCTCTGTACCACCTAAAGGCCTCAGGACTGATCACTTTAGGAAGTGGAGTGTGGAATGCCTCAAATTACTAACTCACAAGAGGGAAAAATAGTAACTCGATGACCACAAAAAGATGATGCAAACACTGACCAAATGGTTAGAGTGGAAACAACCAGCAAAGGCACCAACGGTCCTGAAGAGGACCCAGGGTCTGTCAAAAAGGCATAGCCCAAAACTCACCAAGAGGAAACATCAGATAAACTCACATGGAAGGACACTGTTCAAACTAACTGGCCTGCAGTCTTCAAAAATGACAAGTCATAAGAACTAAGAAAGGTTGAAGAACTATCCCACATTAAAGAAGCCTAAAGAGTTACAACTAAAAGTAACACATGATCCTACGCTGAATTCTAAACCAAGAAAAATGCAGCTAAAAAAATAAATTAATAGGGCAAGTGAAAAATGTGCCTATTGACTGTTACTTGGAAGAATATGTATCCATGTTATCTTTCCTGATTTTGATAATAATACTGTTGTTATGTAAAAATGTTCTCACTCCTAAGAAATATACAATGGGCCGGGCGCGGTGGCTCAAGCCTGTAATCCCAGCACTTTGGGAGGCCGAGACGGGCGGATCACGAGGTCAGGAGATCGAGACCATCCTGGCTAACACAGTGAAACCCCGTCTCTACTAAAAAACACAAAAAACTAGCTGGGCGAGGTGGCAGGCGCCTGTAGTCCCAGCTACTCGGGAGTCTGAGGCAGGAGAATGGCGTAAACCCGCGAGGCGGAGCTTGCAGTGAGCCAAGATCCGCCCACTGCACTCCAGCCTGGGCGACAGAGCAAGACTCCGTCTCAAAATAAATAAATAAAAAATAAAAAAAAGAAATATACAATGAAGTCTTCAAGATCTATGACACCTTCAGCTTATTCACAAACAGTTCCGAAAAAAATGTCCCATGTAAATGTAAAAACATGCACAAACACACAATAGAGAAAGTACACGCGATAACATAAATGGTACAAAATCTTAATAACTGGTGAATCCAGAGAGAACTCATGGAGTTCTTTTTACTGTTATTGCAACTGTTCTGGAAGTTTGATGTATCAAAAAAAGTTATTAAAACACTAATTTTCGTCTCTAACATGATAGATTTTGTTTTGTCACCTAATGTTGCTTACTTTCTGTTTTTCTCAAGGATCGAATAATCTAGATAGAGTATATGTTTAACAGGCAAATCCTTTTTTTTTTTTTTTTTGAGACGGAGTCTTGCTGTGTCGCCCAGGCTGGAGTGCAGTGGCCGGATCTCAGCTCACTGCAAGCTCCGCCTCCCGGGTTCATGCCATTCTCCTGTCTCAGCCTCCCGAGTAGCTGGAACTACAGGCGACCGCCACCTCGCCCAGCTATTTTTTTTTTTTGTATATTTTAGTAGAGACAGGGTTTCACCGTGTTAGCCAGGGTGGTCTCAATCTCCTGACCTCGTGATCCGCCCGTCTAGGCCTCCCAAAGTGCTGGGATTACAGGCTTGAGCCACCGCGCCCGGCCCAGGCAAATCCTTTAAAACAATCACAGTAACTTCCTTTATTAATCTAATACAAATCTTTTCAATGAGTTAATTAACAGAACTCAAAAAAGAAAATTAAACACTGCAAAGATATATGCTATCGGATACATTCATTTTACTAAGTGATGTATTTGTCACGAACACTCAAATTATGGCACTCCTTACATAAATGTGAATTTTAAAAGCTATAAAGATCAACTAGTTTGTAATTTTGGTCTCTAAAACATACTTGTTATTACAATCTGTAAAAAAAAATTGTGACTTTTCTTTATGAACTCTGCATATGTACTGCGGATGTCACAAAAACCAGACACAGTGCATGAAATCTGTCACACAACTTTTACTTAATATTTCCAAGCCAGTAAGATTTAACAATAAAATAACGATTTACATAAGTAAAACCTCACAATTTTTTTCCGTATTTCTTTTTTTGGCCTCATGAAGGAAAAAAACCTTACAAATTAATACTTGACTTCTACTTTGAAGATAGTAAAGCTTAAATTCTTACAAATACTTGTCTTTCTCCCAATGGAATCTGTTTGCTTGCATCGGATGACAAGGTCTCTTTTCACTCCAGTTTAACTAAGTCTGTGCCCCATCCCAACTCTTAAGTCCTACTTTTTTTCTTGACTAGTAATATTTTTACCTGGACAGATAATTTTTTCCTTTGACTCTTTTCCCAAACCTATTTTTTCTATGATGACACTTTTTTCCCAATTCTTAATTAGCTACCCTTAGTGTGCTTCATCAGCTATGTTTTAAAAAGCAATAAAAATCTAGTGAAAGTAAAAATACAAAATCACTATTGAATTTTCTGAAGTTTTTAATTCCTCACTGATTTAGTCAACAAATTTTTTTGCAAAGCAGTGTATTAGGAGCCATAAAAATTTAAAGGTATTTAAGACAGTCCTTGTCTTTGAAGATTTTATAAATCTTAGTAAGCTATAAGGGAGTCAATGAAAAATATTTTTAATACCTCAACTATATTTATCACAATTAGAGTCAGAGAAATTAGGGAAATAACAAAAATAGCAATCAAACATATTTTGAACACGTTGGGTTTACATTTCAGAAGTTGCAAAAATACAGTCCTACCTATTATAGTTACTCCATTTCCATTTTAATTACAATACACGGCCAGGCGCGGTGGCTCAAGCCTGTAATCCCAGCACTTTGGGAGGCCGAGACGGGCGGATCACGAGGTCAGGAGATCAAGACCATCCTGGCTAACACAGTAACACCCCGTCTCTACTAAAAAATACAAAAAACTAGCCGGGCGAGGTGGCGGGCGCCTGTAGTCCCAGCTACTCGGGAGGCTGAGGCAGGAGAATGGCGGGAACCCAGGAGGCGGAGCTTGCAGTGAGCCGAGATCCGGCCACTGTGGGGACAGAGCGAGACTCCGTCTCAAAAAAAAAAAAAAAAATTACAATACACATCGTAATTCTTCTAAACCTTACCTGACAAGGCTGAAGTCTTCAGGTAGCCATCCAGGCAGGGGAGAATGTCTTTGTAATAAGGCTGCATTACATGTCTGTCGATATAAATTGACCATTCTTCTAGAGCATTCAGGCCTACTTCTGCCAAGGGGGGATAGCTCAGGCCCAGTTTGAAAGCCATCTGTATGTTAACACAAACAAGTTAAACTAAAACACAAGAAATAAAAGATTTAAAGGAAAAAAAACACCACGTAATTGTGGTTTCTAATGAATACACCTTTTTATTGCTGGACACCCGACACTGCTGGAGTGTGCAGTCCAGGTAATTAGGAGGAAAGCAAGCAGCTGTCTCTGTGCCTGTGGTATACCGCAGCCTTTCAAGACACACAGGTTTAACTCTCACATCGACCTCCAAGTGCAGTTCAGAGTCACCAAGGGTCTAAGTCCCAAAGCCAGTAAGTGGCAGACACAGACCCTGACCCGGGTACGCCTGTGAGGAAACGCTTGCTAGGACTGCCTTGGCAAGAGCGTGGTGTTTCCATGTGCTCTGGGACTCACAACAGTCCCAGATGTCTTGAACAGAGCCCAGATGGCTCTGTTCAAGACAACACCTACCTGCAGCGCAGGAATGTAGGCTCTAATATCGAGTTCGATGATGTCATGTGGCAGGGACAGAAGAAAGGTCAAACAGGAGGCCAAAAGTTCATCTTTGTATTGCTTCATTTTAACTGCCACCTTAACAAGAAAGAAGACAATAATGTATATCTGAATAGAGCCTACATTTGAAAATCAACTGAAAAGTATTTGCCCTATTCTCAAATACAAAAATGGGCATGTAGTCTTTATTGACATGACCACATTCACTTACAAATTACACACTAACCTCCAGGAAAGTTAATTTGTTGAAATGCTTAATACCTACTACATGGAAAAACAAGAATCTATTTCATTTTGAGTTGTCATCACTCAATTGAATTACGCTAAGAGAGCTCGAGGGCCTTTTTTTTTTAATAAGATAGTCGTGCTGTCACCCAGGCGAGTGCAGTGGTGCAACTCGGCTCACTGCAACCTCTGCCATCCTTCAAGCGGTTCTCCTGCCTCGGCCTCCCAAGTAGCTGGAATTAAAGGCACTCATCACCACATCTGGCTAATTTTTTGTATTTTTAATAGAGATGGGATTTCACCATGTTGGCCAGGCTGGTCTTGAACTCCTGCCCTCAAGTGATCCACCCACCTTGGCCTCCCAAAGTGCTAGGATTAAAGGTTTGGGCCACCATGCATGAATGAGGGACTTTTGAAGCACAATAACTTCCTCTACTAGTTTTTTTAGGACCTCACTCCCACTCTAGATTTAGCAAACACACTTTTGTTTTTATTTTTATTTATTTATTTATTTGAGACACAGTCTCGCTCTGTTTCCCAGGCTGGAGTGCAGTGGCACTATCTTGGCTCACTGCAACCTCCATCTCCCAGGTTCAAGCGATTCTCCTCCCCCAGCCTCCTGACCCGACACAATTCTTTTTTTTTTTGAGACAGAGTCTCACTGTGTCGCCCAGGCTGGAGCACAGTGGCACAATCTCAGGTCACTGCAACCTCTGCCTCCGGGGTTCAAATGGTTCTCCTGCCTCAGCCTCCTGAGGAGCTGGGATTACAGGCGTGCACCACCAGGCCAGACTAATTTTTGTATTTTTAGTAGAGACGTGGTTTCATTACGTTGGTCAGGCTAGTCTCAAACTCCTGACCTTGTGATCCGCCCACCTCGGCCTCCCAAAGTGCTGGGATTAGGGCATGAGCCACCACACCCAGCCCCAATTCTTAAAATAATTATTTATGATCACTAGGATTTTTTCAATAAACATTCATTTAAAAATAGTTCATGATAACACTAAAATAAATCATTTAAAAATTACCTCTTTGCCAAATTTCACAAATAAAGCAAAGCAAGAATGCTTTTCTGGGTCTTCAGGAGAGTGTTTCAGACTCTTTGGACTAACTCCCTGTCAAATAAAACAGCAAGTTAGTACACTGAACAAGAATCAGGAGACTGTATCCTAATCCAGTGGTTCCCAGCCTGTCTTCAGAGGGGTGAATCCATTTCAAGTTACCAACATCCAATGAAGACAGGAGAGAGAATCAACTCTGCAGACATTTCAAGGCACAGGCAAGTCAGAACAAGAGGAGGGAAGGTGGCGGCTAGTGAGAAGCCATGGACACAACTAAGTCCATTCCCTCTTTCTCATCTCACCTTGTAATTCCCAGGTGGGCTCATCACGTGACTGACTGAAGCATCCAGAATGCTAATCCAGTTGTTCTCAAACTTCACTAGGTGCCAGAATCACCTGGTAGCTCCTAGCACAGGTGGCAGAGCCCTGCCCCCAGGGTTTCTGATGCAGGAAGCAATGCTCAAGGCTGCTGGTCCTGGGACCACACTTTGAAAGGCCTTGTTAATCTTACATAATTAGCCAGGTGCTTGAGCATCAGGGCAAAAAATGCTGCTAGCTTTTTAGAGTGCTATCCAACTGCCAGCCACTCACATATCAATTTTTTAAAACACATATAATAAAATTAGTAGACTTTAAAACTGCATAGGCCACAATCACATATTTTATGATACATTTATATAAACTCATAACCTAAAAAAATGCAAGATTCAATGTCCTGCAAAAAAGACTCACCTCGAAATATTTTATTTTCTTGGCATTTCTTACTGTAATAGAAAGCAATTTGTAGAAACCACTGATGAGGGGCAACCTTGTAGACTGTAAAATTAATTCATATGAAAATGAGTACACCCATGGTTCAAAAAATTCTGCTTGTTTCTCAGGGAGAATCTCTCTGTAAAAACAAATTAGAAATCGAAGGTAGAAATTTTTATCATACTGATCTTAAAATTATAAGGGACACAAATAACTAAGCTACAATTCCATTGCATAACATTTTCAGGTATCCTAAAATGTTTAGTTATATCTATAATCCATTTTTCTCTACCTGAGGATCTTTTAAACATAAAAAATAATGAAAACTGTAAGCTAGGACACTTACATACATTTTTAAAGATCTATATAATCGATTATAAAGTTTGTCTTTTATTATTTCTTTTTTGTTTGTTTGTTTGAGATGGAGTCTCGCTCTGTTGCCCAGGCTAGAGTGCTGTGGCGCAATCTCGGCTCACTGCAAGCTCTGCCTCCCAGGTTCACGCCATTCTCCTGCCTCAGCCTCCCAAGTAGCTGGGACTACAGATGCCCGCCACTATGCCCAGCTAATTTTTTATATTTTTAGTAGAGACCGGGTTTCACTGTGTTAGCAGGTGAAACTGGATGGTCTCGATCTCCTGACCTGGTGATCCGCCCACCTCGGCCTCCCAAAGTGCTGGGATTATAGGCGTGAGCCATTGCGCCCGGCCTGTTATTTCATTTCTTGTATCTACATAAGGGATTTCCTATATTACAGCCAATAAGTAACAATCATTTTCATTCTTAAATAATTAGAATTTTACAAAATACCTGCAAAATTCCACCAGGTTAATGAAAGCCGAAAAATCTTTAGGTTTAGCCGGATGCAAGTTAGCCGCTGGATCTGACGTCGGGATCATCCAAACACCAGGAGCCTCATCTCCGTTCTTAAAGAGTAATTGTAGCAAAGAAACATTGTACCATTCAATCACGAATCACTCAACAAATAACTTTCCAACTGACTTTATGGTCAAGGCCTGATGCTATGAAGAAAGAATGCAACAGCAAGAAAGACCAAGATGGGTGCTCAAGAGCTACGGTCTGATAAGAAGTGCAGGACTTGCAGAAAGCGTTGACCAAAAGGACTCTCGGGAAGTGATGACAGAATGGGACAAACAGAAAAATGCCAAGGGTGGGCAGCACTTCTTGAGGGAGCTAGCAATAATGCCTTGACAGAGACAGAATTTTAACAGGTGACCTAGAGATTTCAAGTGAAGAAACAGAGAAATAGAGAAATTATTAACAGTATTAAGAAAGATAAATGAAAAATATGGTGTTTTGGAAGTGCACGAAGATCAGTTTTAAACATGCTAAGTTTGTGTCACCAAATTTGTGTTACCAAACACAACTGTGTATTCAAATTAAAATGTTGCACAAGTAGCTAGAAATAGACAGCAGAAACCAACAAGGGAGGAGGAGGCTGGAGATCAAACACATCTGGGAAGTGCTAACAGGTGGTTGTTGATCTGTTGGAACCAAGCTGGAAGGGAAGGGAACAGAGGAGAAAGGGAAGCCACTGAAGATAGCAATGAACACACACGTGTTCTAAAATGCAGGTCTGTCAGCTGACACAGTTCGAGGAAGGCCCTTTGGGCAAGTTTTTTTTTTTAATAAAATTATTTTAGACATATGCAAAGCACAAGAGCAATAAAGCACACATCAGTGTTACTACCTATCATTCAGCATGAAAAAGAGAATACTGCAAGTACAACAAAGCTAATGTGACCACGGGTTTGTACCATTTTCCCTTCATGCTTCCTCTGCACATTCTCCCCATTACCTCTTGTCTAACTTCTCAGGACTGCAGTGGAGGTACTGACGCGTGAACTCGAATCAGCACAATCTAGTCTGAAACAATCACTGCAGTCGAAAGCAAGTGAGATGCCTCCCCAGGATCTCAGTTCTTTCTCGTCAGCCTAGTTACCGTGGAGTCCAGTTACCACCAATGCCTCAGACAAGAGCAGGGCAGCTCCAGGCTGGTGGCCTTAAGCCATGACTTATCCTTTTTTTTCTGAGACAGAGTCTCGCTCTGTCACCTAGGCTGTAGCACAGTGGCACCATCTCGGCTCACTGCGAGCTCTGCCTCTGGGGTTCACGTCATTCTCCTGCCTCTGCCTCCTGAGTAGCTGGGATTAGGGCGCCCGCCGCCACACCTGGCTAATTTTTTTTTTTTTTGAGACAGTCTCTGTCACCCAGGCTGGAGTGCAGTAGCGTGATCTCGGCTCAATGCAAGCTCCGCCTCCTGGGTTCATGCCATTCTCCTGCCTCAGCCTCCCAAGTAGATGGGACTACAGGCGCCCGCCACCATGCCTGCCTAATTTTTTGTATTTTTAGTAGAGACAGGGCTTCACCGTGTTAGCCAGGATGGTCCCGATCTCCTGACCTTGTGATCCACCCGCCTCAGCCTCCCAAAGTGCTGGGATTACAGGTGTGAGCCACCGCACCAGGCCTAAGCCACGACGTATCTTTAATCCAGGCTAGGAAAATTACGTACAAAAAAAGGGAGGGCATTTTCTTATTTCTCTTCCTATTATCTATACTCTTCTATCTCAGGAACACATTTAACACCTTGTACCACAAGTTTCCTTAACTATAAACAAGAGCAACCCCAGGTTTCCCTATCCTACACAAAGTCATTTCTACATAAGATTTCTGTCACTGTTTACTATTGCTAAGGAATAAGAAACAAATGAGCCTAGTAAATAACTTTTACAAAAAAAAAAATTAACATACATAAATTACTTTTTGAACCATCTAGTAATAACATTTTCTATACAATAGATTATATCCAACAGAAATGCATCAATGGCACATAATAATCCTGAAGAACCAAATTTCCTCCAGTCCTCCTCTACAAATGTGCTATTATCCCCTAAATATTTATATGCAAAGACAGTTGATACAAAAATGATGAAAAATTACTACTAATAAAAATTTCTAACCTCTTGTTCCCCAACAGTCTGTGTTTGTAGTGTAAGATCCAATTTCTCAACAATCTTCAAAACGGATTTTACAAATTCATCATAAAGTAAATGATTCAGACTTTCACTGGAGGAATTCACAGAGAAAAATGCTTCATCTGCTAAAATAGAATCCTTTAAATAAAAAAAAAACCAATAAACTTCAAAATCTTGTGCAAAAAAGTATTAGTATGAGTATTTTATAAACATTAAGACACATATACAGATATATGTGCCGATTTGGGTATTATGGAAACAGTGATGATAAACTGTAGCAGATTTACCTGGAAGTTTTCAAGTTGCAAGATACCTTCCTAAATTATTATAATAGCATTATTTCAGTCAGATATCATTTATCCAGTCATGTAACAAATACTTACTCTGTATATAGTGGTAAGTGAGAAGATTTAGGCAAATCCTTGTCAAAGCATTAATTGGGTAAACCCAATTAATTTGTGGATGTGTATGTATAAACACAAATATGTGTAATATGCATCTACAGACACTATGTCTGTGTACATGTAAGGACATGCACGTATACTTATGTGCATACATAATATGCACACATATATAAACATACACATATATACATATACATATATATCCATCCTCAGACTGGACCTGTTAGGAGGAACAGCTTAGCATGAGCTGTACCATCTCACTATTTAAAATTAAAATGAGGACGCAGCAACAGTAACTAATTAATGTTAAAGGAATTCTATGTCTGTGTTTCTTTCAATTCATTTATTTCTACTCTCATTCTAACTTCCTGATTCATAGCTTTAATTTTTTATTTTTGAAGTACAGTTTTAAATTTTTGAAAGTTAGTAAAATATAATTCTGATATGTCTTATGTTTAAACTATGAAGACTAATAATAGAGGAAGTGAGGTACATTTATGGCTTTCAAATGGTAAACATTACCATCATCTGGTCAGAGGTCAGGAGATGTCTGAAGAGATCCACGTAGTCTTTGTATGTGGGCACCTTCCATTTGCCAGTTCTGACTTCCCCTGAAGCACGGTAGTCTTCAGATTCAGACTCGGGGCCCTGGTCAGAAAGACAGCATGACAATGTGTAATGATGGATTCTCAGAAGCAGCACTACTGCCAGAACATGCTGGTTTTCGGAATTTTCTAAATTAAACTGCCACCCATAGGAGACCATATAATTAAGGAAGACACTGCATTATAAAAGCATAATTTAAAAAGCTGAGGTCAGGTGGCTCATACCTGTAATCCCAGCACTCTGGGAGGCCAAGGTGGGTGGATCACCTGAGGTCAAGAGTTCGAAACCAGCCTGGCCGACATGGCAAAATGTCTCTACTCTAAACACAAAAATTAGCTGGGCAAGGTGGTGGTCGCCTGTAATCCCAGCTACTCGGGAGGTTAAGGCAGGAGAATCGCTTGAACCTTGGAGGGGAAGGCTGCAGTGAGCCAAGATTGCGCCACTGCACTCCAGCCTGAATGATAGAGCGAGACTCTGTCTCAAAAAATAAACAAATAAATAAAAAGCTGAAAAATACGTGATTCTCCTGTGACTAAAACTGTGATATACCAAGAAGTATTTCAATACAATATCCACTGAATGTGCTATAATAATCTTGCTTTCGTACACAGTTCCATCTTTCATCTCATCATATGTCCTATAATTTCTGGGAACTAAGATACGCCTCCCTCAGCAATCTGTCCTAGAGTTTCAAGAGAGAAAACATTTTCTGGTTTAGGAAAATGTATAAAACCTAAAGTTACGCTTAAAGATGCTTCATACCTTAGAAGTGTATTTGCCTAACAAAATACAGAGGTATTATGTCCTATGCTTTTCAAAATGTAAGGCATTGCTAATAACTAAGAAAAGAACGGCCACTTTTGCAAAATTATATTCGAAAACCTCAGCAACATTCCTAACTTCAGTGATAACAGATTAATTTTCTAAACATTAAATTCAGATTTTACCTTTGGAAGGACCACTGGTTTAGAACATATTCTGATTAAACCCTGATGCACTGAAAAAAGAAAAAAAAAACAAAAATGAAGGAAACACTGAAAAATAGAATCAAACGCTCAAAAAAAAAAAAAAAAACCAGTCATTTTATTTTGGAACCCAACTTTACCTCTCAATTTATTTTCTAAGTTCATTAACAGCTTTAATTTTAAAACTTAAAATTATTGGCCAGGCACGGTGGCTCGTGCCTGTAAGCCCAACACTTTGGGAAGTCGAGGCAGGGGGATCAAAAGGTCAGGAGTTCAAGACCAGCCTAGCCAATATGGTGAAACCCTGTCTCTACTAAAACTATAAAAATTAGCCAGGCGTGGTGGCAGGTGCCTGTAGTCCCAGCTACTCTGGAGGGTGAGGCAAGAGAATCACTTGAACCCAGGAGGCAGGGATTGCGGTGAACCAAGATTCCACCACTGCACTCCAGCCTGGGAGACAGAGCGAGACTCCTGTCTCCAAAAAAAAAAGAAAAAAAACCCAAAGACGTAAAACTATTAAAATTCAGAGGTAATAGGATGAAAAAAGGATGGGATTTTGGTCTACCAAAATTTAGGAGTTCATCAAAAGTTGTATCAAAGATACAAAAGAATTTGGTAAACAGATTCTCTTTACCTATATCAAATAATGTGTTAATTATCCAACATTACTCATAAAAACAATAAATTGCAAACTTACCCACAGTACTAATGCAATTCCTGAGAACTGGCCCTTTTGCTGCCAAAGCTAGGAACACCTTCACTATGGCTCTGCAACACACCAACTGCATTTTTGGACTGTACTGTGGGAAACTGTCTATCTGCATCACCACGAGGTGCTCCAGAACTGGAGTATACACCTCAGGAACCTACCGGAAATAATTAGCAAACCGTGAGTTAGAGGAGGGAATCAATGAATACAGGAATAATACAAATATTCTAAGTAATTACAACCGAATTAGATACTTGTTTAAAAAAAACATGGTTTGTCATCTAACCTGCTGCTTAACATTTATCACTGTGATTGCCTTAAAAAAAAAAAAAACACACACACACAGTAAAAATTGTCTTGAGGTGCAATTCTATCCCAAGCAACAATTTCAAATCTTTCAGAAAGATGGCAAGAGAAACAAATACTTTTTTTCCTGTTCTGGATAACAAAAAATCAAGTTTCATGACAATAATTGTATTGCCACAAAATACTAACTAAAACTGTCACATTGTTCCCAACAGTGCCTACACTAAATGTATTGTATGACTCCATCAAGTTATTTGAAGAAATGAAGATTAAATACTTAAAACTGTGCTGTTTAGTTCACTTACTGTGTCAAGGTACAGCAAGACACTAGCAACAGACTGGAGGAAGCTCGGCATCTGATAAACACGGTCATCACCAGTGTCTGTCTGGGTGAGGAACATCTGCTTGCAACGCTGAATGAGCTCAACATACATGAAGTCAACATCTTTTGCGTTTATAACTTTGCAGGGCTTTAGAAAAGGGAAAACGTAAGTTTTCATCAATCTCATCAAGATCAAAATAACGATATTTAAGGTGTCATGTTAAGCCATGTGATTATAAACACAAGTTTAATAAGGCTTTTTTTTTTTTTTTTTGAGATGAAGTTTTGCTCTTGTCCAGGCTGGAGTGCAATGGCATGATTTCGGCTCACCACAACCTCCACTTCCCGGGTTCAAGTGATTCTCCCACCTCAGCCTCCCGAATAGCTGGGATTACAGGCATGAGCCACCATGCCTGGCTAATTTTTTTTTCTTTTTTTGTATCGTTAAGTAGAAACAGGGTTTCTCCATGTTGCTCAGGCTGGTCTCGAACTCCGACCTCACGTGATCTGTCCGCCTCAGCCTCCCAAAGTGCTCGGATTACAGGCGTGAGCCATAAGCTTTTTAATTAAGAAGAAATACAGATATAAAATACGGTATCTGCCCAGGTAGAGTGGCCCATGCCTGTAATCCCAGCACTTTGGGAGGCCGAGGCGGGCAGATCACCTGAGGTCACGAGTTCAAGACCAGCCTGGCCACCATGGTGAAACCTCATCTCTAAAAAAACACACACACACACACAAAAATTAGCCACGTGTGGTGGCGCACAACTGTAATCCCAGCTACTCAAGAGGCTGAGACATGAGAATCGCTTGAACTCGGGAAGTGGAGGTTGAAGTGAGCTGAGATCGCGCCACTGCACTCCAGCCTGGGCAACAGTGAGGTTTCACCTCAATAAATAAATAAATAAATAAATAAATAAATAAAATATGGTATCTCATTATAAAGATGCTTTGTATAATAATATGTAATCACATTTTCAATACTTATTCACACAGGAAGCATTTATTGGTTGTCAGCTATGTTCTAGGCACTGTTTAGACAGTGGGTACTGAGGACAAACGAAAGGCAGTCCCTGCCCCCAAGGCTGTCCATCTACAGGACAGGCCAGGAGTCCATACATGACTGGAAGATGCTCCATGTCATGCTCCACACCACACCAGAGACATTTTTTCAAACTCACAAATGTGCTAATGCAATTGCTCAATTTCAGACTTTTCTAAGGCTTCTTTTCCAGGACTTCTGAATCCAGTCCAGACTCCCAGAGGATCTGATGGTGCACCTCGTTTCCCCTTTCCTGTCTATCATGCTCTAGCCACAGGGACAAGCTCAAGTGGGGGTAGATCACTGCGTAAAGGGAAAATCCCATGCGATCTTTTAGCTCAGAGCCTTCTGCCATTCTGTTTCTTCTGCCCTAAGCATATTTAAAGAAGGCAACAGAGACAAATGGAGATGAAGATTAAGAAAATGGGAAAGGCTAGGCATGGTGGCTTACAGCTGTAAGCCCAGTGCTTTGGGGACTGAGGCAGGAGGTTCGCTTGAAGCCAGGAGTTCAAGACCAGCCTGTGTAACAAAGTGAGATATCATCTCTACAAAAGATTAAAAAATTTGCTGGGCATGGTGGCTCATGCCTGTGGTCCCAGCTACTCCGGAAGTTAAGGCAGGAGGATTGCTTAGCCCTAGAAGTCAGGGCTGCAGTGAGTTGTGATTGTACCGCTACACTCCAGCCTGAGAGGCAAAAAAGAAAAAGAAAAGAAAAAGGGAGAGGCCAGGAGCGGTGGCTCATGCCTGTAATCCCAGCACTTTAGGAGGCCAAGGTGGGCAGATGACCTGAGGTCGGGAGTTCAGGACCAGCCTCACCAACATGGAGAAACCCCATCTCTACTAAAAATACAAAAATAAAATAGCCAGGCACGGTGGTCCATGCCTGTAATCTCAGCACTTGGGAGGCTGAGGCAGGAGAATTGCTCGAACCCGCGAGGCGAAGGTTGTGGTGAGCCGAGGTCATGCCATCGCACTCCAGACTGGGCAACAAGAGCAAAACTCCAACTCAAAAATTAAAAAAAAAAAAAAAAAGAAATAAGAAAAAAAAGGGAGAGATTATAGGAAGAAAAAGGAATTTAGTTGTCTTTTCTACAAAGCAGAAGTCATAGAGTTCCACTAAGAAGAAATAACTAGGGTTATTCTTAATATTTTTCTTTTAAAAAAATTTTTAAGACAGATAGTGTCTCCGTTGCCCACATTGGAGTACAGTGCCTCGATCATAACTCACTGCCACCTCTGCCTCCTGAGTTCAAGAGATTCTCCTGCCTCAGTCTCCCAAGCAATTGGGATTACAGGTGCACGCCACCACACCCGGCTAATTTTTGTATTTTTAGTAGAGACAGGGTTTTATCACTTTGGCCAGGCTGGTCTCAAACCCCTGACCTCAGGTGATCTGCCCGCCTCAGCCTCCCAAGGTGGTGAGATTACAGGTGTGGGCTGCCACACCTAGCTAATATTCTTAAATATATCTCTTTCTGTCATATAAACTTTTTTTTTTTTAACTTCTCTTTCTAAAACTGAGTGAAATCAACTACAATTTTACTTTAGGAATAAGGAGCAGCATAGTATAGAGGGGAAACGTGTTTCTACTCTTCACACTTGGACTTATGCCTTGGTTCTGTCAATTCTGAGTCTCTTAACAAGTTTCCTAATTTCTCTGGGTCTCGCTTTGCTAATCTGTAAAACAGAGTAATACTCAGCTCCTAAGGGTTAGGAGAATTTGAGATAAACACATATAAAGAATTCTAGTACATAGTAGACAGTGAAGGAATCTTAACTGTTAATAAACAACACTAATACAGTGACCCTCAGGATATGTGGGAGGGATTGGTTCCAGGCCTCCTCAGTATACCTAAATCCATGCATACTCACGTCCCACAGTCACTCTGTGGAAGCCTCATATACAAAAAGTCAGCCCTCTATATAAGTTTCAAATCCAGCACACACTGTATTTTTGATCTGTATGGCAGAAAAACATCTGCATGTAAGTGGACCTGTGCAGTTCACGCCCACGTTATTCAAGGGTCTGCTGTATTGTTGCAAGTATTAGACACTACTCAAAATGCAATAAATTAGATTCCTTTAAACAATCACGTGAAACCAAGACAAAATAGAGTAAGTTAATGAGACATACTCCTGCAAAAAGTCCATATCCACGGATAGCAATAGATAACTCCTTGTTGTTCGAATCCACATTTCTGATGATTCCATAAAACTGCTCCATAAAGTACTGCAGTTTACTTTTATGCATTTCTGCATTTTTCGCCACCATATTAGAAACCTGCAAATACATAATATTTTGAAATATTTAATAGCAACGGAATCTTTACAAATACGGAAAAACTAGAACTGTTTAGATGCTACTAATGTACTATTATAGTTACACGCAATTGCTTTAAATCATAAAGACCCTTTGCTTCCATTTTGTTTAGTCTCTATCAGGTTCAGAAAAGTGTCTTAAATAAGGTTATGTGATACATTTTTCCTAGAGAAGGGACTAAGAGACCGAGGATACGCCTAAGTCTGAAAAGAACAAAAAAACAGGTTTTGAAGTAAGATTATCTGAGGAAGCAAAGAGCAGTCTTTAGAGCTCACCTGTCACCCACACAGTAAAAGAGAGTTGTCAGGGGACCAGTGATTTCAGACGTCATCAATAAATACAGTTCAGAACAATCAGAACGACAAGACATCTCAGTTTTCAAAAAAATAAGCTACAAACTATAAAGCTTAAATCAAGTGATGCAAGGGGAAAATGTCGTCTGAGAAGCAAATAGATCATTATTTACCAAACCAAGAGACAAGATCCTAAATGCAAGAACTAATACAGGTATTCAGAGAGCATTCCCCATTTCAGCACAAAGACTGTCCAGAATAAGAATGGAAGGAATCTATCTAGACAATTAACAAAGACAGAAAAAAAACCCCACCTTCGGCCGGGCGCAGTGGCTCAAGCCTGTAATCCCAGCACTTTGGGCGGCCGAGACGGGTGGATCACGAGGTCAGGAGATGGAGACCATCCTGGCTAACACAGTGAAACCCCATCTCTACTAAAAAATACAAAAAAAAAAACTAGCCAGGCAAGGTGGCGGGCGCCTGTAGTCCCAGCTACTCGAGAGGCTGAGGGAGAAGAATGGCGTGAACCTGGGAGGCAGACCTTGCAGTGAGCTGCGATCCGACCACTGAACTCCAGCCTGGGCGACAGAGCGAGACTCTGTCTCAAAAAAAAAAAAAACAACCCACCTTCCATTGCCAATTTATCCATACACTTCCCAATCCCCCTAAAGCCACTAGGTCTTAGGACGTGACCTTCGGGAACTTTGCTCCCTATTTGTTTTAGAAGAATGAAACATTGTATATACTGTTTCATAATTTACTTCTTCACAAAACATATTATAAATGTTTCTCAAGAAGTAAACAAACAACAATATCATTTTACTTAATTACAGAATACCAAATATTATATATTATAATGTGTAACCACCTAAACACTGCTAATTTTCTGTTATAGTATTCCCAGTAAGCATGTTTTTAATGCATCTTTATTCAACTATTCAACTATTTCCTGTATATAATATTAAAGACTCAAAAATAATTATTCAACAGTAGCAGAGGATAGATTAAAACATTATGGCTCATAAATATCATTATATATTACACTGCCACTGAAAATTAATCATACAGATGTCGGCTGGGCGCAGTAGCTCACACCTGTCATCCCAGCACTTTGGGAGGCCAAGAAGGGTGGATTACCTGAGGTCAGCCTGGCCAACATGCTGAAACCCTGTCTCTAATAAAAATACAAGGTCGGGCGTGGTGGCTCAAGCCTGTAATCCCAGCACTTTGGGAGGCCGAGACGGGTGGATCACGAGGTCAGGA